CCCCCAAAATAAAAATAAAAAAATCAATGACAGCAAGGAGCTTGATTCATCACTGTATCTCTAGTGGCTAGGAGGTAGCCAAGTTCAGGTAGGAAGCAACAAATATTTTCTGAGCAAATAAACTGAAGAATAAACTCATTTTTTTCTTAATTTATGATGGCCCTGAACATTTAGAATCCAGAAGAAGAAATTTGGATCTGATTTAGAAATTTGGACTTAATGAGTGATAAGAATGTCTATACAGATCCTGTGGCTATATTATTTCCTCACGTGTATTCATTTTCTCTAGGAATTACATTGAGAATGACAAGGAGGTAGAGTAAAATAGGTAGAGATTGTTCTGGAGGTTTAATAGTGCTGAATGTGAGAGAGAAATTAATAGGTTAATACACTAGGATACACAAGTCAGCCATTTGGGAGAGATGACTTCTAAAAATATTTCTAACTCTAAATTGAGGATACTAAGAATAGAGAGGCACTAACAAAATAGGCAACCCAAGCATATCTGTTTAACCAGAGAATGAACAATTAAGAGCACTACCTTTGCAATTGATAGCTCTACATGCAGACCCAGTTTTGCCACTTGATAATTGTGTAAACTCTGCCTTTTCTGATTTTGCATTCCAGGTCCATTAAAAAAAAATACTGAGTGCCTACTTTGTGTTTAAAGTTGTTCTAGGTGCTTGGAATGCATCTAGACAAACAGGCAACAAGCCCAGTCCTCAAAGAGTTTAGATTCTAGTTCTAAGTCTAGACCTCAGTCCTCCCAAATCCAAGCCAACTTCTGACTCTGCATCTCTGTTTCTTCCATTAGAGCGTAAGTGACTGCAATGATATTGTTTCCTATGGATACCTTCTCCCATAGAGTGTGAGCACCTTGAGAAGTTGACACTACTGGGCCGCCAATTCATCACACAGGACATGGGACAGACGAATGAATAATAGTGAGTTGCTATTAACTCTTTCTGGTTTGATTTATACTTCATTTTCTTATTCTCTCTCTCTCTCTCTCTCTCTCTCTACTCTCTATCATCTGTCTATCTATGACTTAGTTTTGTTTAGACTCTCACTTTTTGGAGAAATTTGCAGATTCCACACAGACCATGTAGCACAGTGCTTAAAGCATTTTGATAGCAATGTTAAAAAACAAAAGCTTCTCTGCCTTTTCCTGACAGCCAGGGACATAAAGACCTGGTTGTGTAACTTGTGTGACTAGAGCCCAAGCGTAAGGCATGGCAGCAAACTCTGGGCAGCTAACACTTTTAATCCTGCCTTCTACCTGCTCTATCTAGAACTTTGGCCACACTAGAAGCATTCCTCAGCTCTAAAAGTCTGCCTTCACATTACTTCAGGGGGGAGGTGGTACTGTGTAGTGATTAGGAGGGTGGAATTTGGAATTAGTCCTGGGGTTTTAACCTAGCTGTGCCATTACTARATGCATGAGTTTAGACAAGTCACTTTGTCCTTCAAATTTCTTACCTGCCTCATAAGAACTTATAAGACACTAACAGCAGAGTGCACTGTAAATGGTTGTCGTTATTATTGCTTTTGTGTACACACTACACATTTCAGAAGGGCATCCAGAGCCAGTGAGGGTCCCTTGGATGCTAATTTTCATGTACAATTCCTGTTGAATCCTTTTGATGACAAAAAAAGAGTATGAGTTGCCTGTCACCTGAGACACTTTCTCTGATGTCTACCCACAGCAAAGAGCTCCATATATTCTCCCCTTATATGAGAGATGTGGAAACTGAGGCCCAAATAGGTGAAGCACTGGGTCTTGGTGTTGTATGGTTAGTGGAAGAGTCGGCACTAGTTCCTTTTCTTTTGATAGTGTCAGTTCTTATTCACTGGAGGGGTTTTGGCTTAAGAGAGATGGAGGCATTCCACATTTCTTCCTTGTCCTGGCCAAAAGTAATCAGTCTACCAGAAACTTCCATGGGGTAAGCACAGAAGGCTCTCCCTTCATCAATGTCATACCTTGGAAAACTATCTCTAGCGAAGATAACAGAAAGAATAAATATTTTTGTTGAGAGAAAAAAATGAAGACAAAGGTCAAAGGGAATCATGTAATGGGTTGAGTCAGGGAAAAAAAAGAAAGCCTTTTTTTTTCCTCTCTCCTCTTTTTCTCCAAAACAGTCYTTATATAGAACTTGTATAGAAGCCAATTTGTGTGATACAGAAAAAATGTTAAAGCACCAAAATACACATACACATATATGCACACACACAAAGAGGTATTTGTGGTGGGGTTGAGAACTAAAATTACCAAGAGATAAAGGAGTTGAAGTGGAAGGTTGACTTGGAATGAAATGATGTGTTTTCCTTTATTTTCAGAGATTCAGAGAACATTAAGGTCAGAAAGCCCAGCCCAGGTCTCTAATAAAATTCTTGAGACTCAAGAAAGAAAAAGAAGAAGGTAAACTGTTCAGCCTTGTGCTTGTCAAATTTGAGGGTCTATATAGGAGCATTTGGCACATAAACGGTTCATGAGCGTGTGGAGTTGAACATTGGTGGTTTGGGGAAGCAAAATGGCATAGGCGTTGGTTTTTCACCAAGGGACAAGGTCCTTAGCACTCCTGTTGAGTGCCTTCAGGAAAGGGACCTGAGTCAGCCTTCTGACTCCCAGTTCCCTGTACAGACTCTGGCACGTAGAATGTTCTCAATATATACTTGTTAATTAAATGAGTAGTTTTGAGAGTGRAAGAGAATTTGGAGGTTACTGGACTGCAAGGTTTGCTCAGAGCAGTCACTATTAAAATTAACCAGCACTGGGATCACCTGGAGAGATTCTGCCCACAGAAATTCTGATTCATAGGCTGGACTGTGGCCTCAGAACCTGTCCTTTGGAAGTTTCCAAGTGATGTAGATGCAGCTGGTCTGAATCCAGACTTGGAGAACCCATTTTAGTGCAGGGAATCTGCAACTTGGTTGCACATTGTAATTGCCTGTTGAGATTTTAAAAGTCCTGAAGGTTGCACCTTACTCTTTCCGATAAAATCAATACCTGGGAGGAGGGCAAGAGGGATGGAGGCTGACACTCAGAAAAACTTAAAAGAGTCCAAGTTTGGGGGTTAGGCAACTGAGTGTGAGAATCACTTCTCCTTGTAGACTTGAGGCATTTAAAGACCAGAAAGGGCAAGCCACTTGCCTAAGATAGTAGAGCAAGTAAGTGACTTAGCTAAGAATAGAACTCAGGGTGCTTTTACTTCTGTTTAATTTCTACCATTCCACACTTATCAACCCATGTCAGCTCTCACAGACTCATAAATCAAGGCAAAAAATGAAAGCTGTGTATAAACTGAGGTTTTAAGACATCTATTACTTCTTTCCTCCATTGTTTTATAAAGAAATTTTAAGTGGATGCATATTTATAGAACTTTACCACTCCAGACAAGTGAGGAGATGGAAGAGACAGGGTTATGGAATATTTTCAAGGCAAGACGATCCTTTAAATTTTAAGTACATTCTCAAACGCAAACCAAGTGCTCCCTCTGAGTCCTTCACCAGATGTTCTTCATCTCGGATTCAATGCATGGGTGAGGGTTTGCTTGAGATGTGCACATTAATTGCTGGCATGTAAAAGGAAGTGCTGGTAAAGTGTTTGAAAGTGGTTCTGTCTCTTAAAAAGATTAAAAGTTTCCTTCCAGAACTTGGTTTCCATTAATGATTGGCTGAGTAAATATTTTCAAGTAGACAGAGCAGAGATTATGTCTTATATCATCTTAGAACCAAATAAAGAGCCACAAAAGGCTTACAGAAACCATGGACTTGGAGTTTTTCATCACACATAGGAGAAATTAAGGCTCAAACAGATTAACTGATTTATCTGACATTAGTAAGTGGACCAGCTGCGACTAGACGCAAAGCGTCTGAGTCCTGAGTTATGGATCTTTCTAGTATTCAAAGCAGTCCCCATGTACATAGTGGGTATTTGATAAATGTTTGTTGATTGACAGCTTAGACCATTCTACCCACATAAGATGATTAAGGCTTTATCATTTTTCAGACTAAAGGGGAAGTTGGAATCACATCTCTGATTCAACTTAAGCTGAGTTTACTGGCTTAGGAGTTGGGGGATCAGATGCTTGTCTTGATCTCACTGCTTCCTAACCACCATGATCTTAGACAAAAGACTTTACAACTCTAAGCCCCAGTTTTCTCCTTTGAAAAATGTGGTTGTAGAGAGGATGAAATGAGTAAAAGATGAAATGACCTTAGCCCATTGTCTGGGACACAAGGAAAATCACTAATAACTTCATCATAGGGTGGCCTTCCACATAAAGCCTAAATCCTGGATATTTTTGAAGAGCTGGTTTTAAAAGTGACGATTAAAGACAAGCACTATCTCACATAAAATCATTGAGCATTCCCCCCCATCCCTCAAAAACAAACAAACAAACAAAAAAACAAAAACAAAAAAACAAAAAAAACATGGATCCTAGAGCTACAAAGACCCTTAAGAGGTCCAAACACCTGTTTTCCATCTCAGGAAATGAGACAGAAACAAGGACTGTGATGCAACATTCACCTTCCAGCAAAATATATATGAAAATACTTAGGAGTATGCCCAATTCCCACGCCAATCTGCTATAATTTCATCTCTTTTTCATTCACCCAAAAAAGCCATCAGAATGCTTGAATCTTCTTCAACTTCATAGAAAATGGAAATCATTAGCAAACTTAGGTTCTTCTACCTTCATAGTAAGAAGTGAGTTTCTTACAGCTATTCACATCCAACCTTGTTCATTTACTGATGGGGAGGCTAAGTTTCATAGGTTAGGGTCAAACATCAGAAGTGTTACCAGATGTAMGCCTATTGGTTCCTTGCTTATCACACACGCTACATCAATTCTGCCTTGTTGAGATGATTCTATAATCTCCAGAAGTGATTAGAGCCTGAGGAACTTTCTCCTTCCACTCCAGGTCTTTCTGACGCTCTGAACACCCCTCYGCCACCTATCCACTTGATCAACTTCCTATGGAGAAGGCGTACTTACATGTCTTTGAATCTTCTATTGAGGTGTARGAGAGATGCCACGTCATCCTGGAGAGGAGGGTCTCGGACCACTTTATACTGCAGAGGCTTGCACTCCAGGCAGAGTGGGCTGTCTGCAACGGAGGTCAACATGGCAGCATCGATCTCCAGATGTTCATCCAGTGTGTAGATCTGGATGCCATACACCTCCTCGCCCACATCCTGGAGTCTGATGGTCAGTGGAATGTCACAGAAAACATTCTGAGGGCCCAGGGAAATGTTGGCTCCACTGACAGTCAACAATTTGATGTCATTGACAGCGCCACTAGAGTCCCAGTCAGTGGAGACAAAGGTCACCCAGATAGCCAGAGACTCGGGGACTACGGGGTACCGGAATTCCAGCTCGAGGTAGCAGCCTTGTGGCTCAGGGCAGGCTGGAGGGACTGTGTGTGGGTTGACAGCTGAATTGGGGCTCCAGGTGCGGACGCTGGACTTACAGGGCTGTTCCACATCTGGATGACCTATGGAGAAGATGGGAGGGAGTGAGTTCCTCAGTCAGGACCTTTGCTCTGGTCATTAGAATTTGCCACAGACCCCATAAGAGACTGGTCTGATGAGAACGTAGAAAAATGAGAGAGAATTCTGGTGTTGTGATTAATCTTTTGTATACATAGCACCCAGTTTCTCCCCACCCCCTGGAAAACAGGTGGGTGAGACATTTGGTCAAACTGCATTCAAATAAGTGTCTTACTATGGAGTTGATGTCCAAGATTCTCTTCCTAATCTTTCACTTGACAACTTTGCTCCTTAGCATAAAAAATCATGTATGTCCCATGACATGTTTAATTTTTTTGCAAGGGATTCATTTCTAAAGTGAGGAAACTAAGGCTCAGAAATGTGGAGTGAATGGACCAAGTTCATAAACTTGAAGTGTCAAGGTCAGCCTTAGAACCCAGCTTGACCTCATTCAGRAGTCCTTAGAGTTCATTCTTTTTCATGTTGGATGTGGAGTCACTAAAATAAGTTAGAATCCAGGTGCTAGTATAGCCTTTGTGACGTCCTGTTTGGATTGAAAGAAACACCAGAAAACCCTGAGCAAAGAGGAGGTAAGCAAGGGGTAGCATCCACCCCCTGGACTGGAGATCTGGGAGGAAATAGCCATGAAAAGCTGGAAAGCTCTGGAGCCACCTTATCTGTCTTCCTCCCTTTCCCTACGTGAGGTCATTSCATACCACTGAGCTTCTCTGAGCTCTTTCCAGTCTAATTCAGGAAGGGGAGGGCTGGGCCAGGAGGGGGAAGAGAGGGATTCTTCTACTCTTTCCCCGGGGAGATGATGCCTCATTCCCAACTGACCTCAGCCTGCCATGACTTCTGAATGTTTCTCCGCTGAAATCACATCTAGACCCTCAGAGAGCTCTTCCCTGCACTACCRAGAAAAGTAACCAGGACTCAATGCAGCAACTGGCTCTAACTTGCTTATGGGAGTCTAGTTGCAGAGCATCTGGTGAGGGTAGAATGGGGGACATTCAGGTTGTGCTATCAGCCATACTCCTTTTCATGTTCGGTGTCAGTGGTTGGTGGCTGTKGGGGTGAGGACACCGGACATTTCTAAAGCAAAAAGGAAAAAAAAAAGTGATCTTTGTTTGAAAACACCTTTTGGTAATGTCACAAGGTCCAGGCAGCAGGTATAGGAATCAACATCAAATGAGTATTAGAAAGCCACGTGGGGTAGAAAAGCAACTCTAGAAAAGGCTGTAAATGCCTCCAACCTCTTTGGCTCTGCCAAGACAAGGAGGAAGAGAGAAGACACCAAGTGGAGATGGAGAAGAGGAGAAAAGGGAACAGGGGAATGCACAGACTTTTGAAGATATAAGTCATCAAAACCAGAAGAGATGGCTATAAATCTAAGATTCCCTCCAACCCTCCTTGACTAGGTTCATTCATTATTCACAACAACTGTTGGCTAGAAGCAACCTTTAGTTTAAATGAGAAGCACAAATAAAACTTCCTGCCCACCTGAAGCTCTTCCCCTGTCTACTCCCCAACCCACTGGATTTCTGACTCAGGTTTTGTGGATGGTGGGCCCATGTGTATTACTTGTTCATTCAGTAAACATTATTGAGGGCAAAACTTCACAGTATATGAAGCACATCCCTTAATGATCAGTGAACTCAGCTGATTGTCATCAAAACCCTGAAGAATGGGTAACATTCCTGTCTGTTTTACAGGTCTATTTCACTCTATGCCATTGAGTCTCTGCTTAATACATCGCAAACAACAGATGCTCAGTCAGTATTTGTTAAGTGAAGAACATTCTACCTTGTGAATACAGAGTTAAAAAAAAAAAAAAACAAAGTTACTGCATGGATTAGAGCCTGCTGCCTGGAGGTGGGTGCCAGGTGAGTGCTCCACCCCTCCATGGGCTTTCTCCCAGAATTGGCAAGGGATAAAATGATCTTTCTCCCTTCCTTGGAGAAAATGACTATCAGTGGTGGGAAGCCACAGGAGAGCAAAGATGACAAATCTGTTTGGCTCATCCTTCCTCCCTGGTTTCTTGTTAATCAACAGGGACCAAATGCTTTCCAAAGGACAAGAAGGTGAGCCTGGTCATTATGCTCCAGTAAGTAAACAGGAGTAGCAATCTTAGGGAAGCTTATCCGTGTCTGGTTATTAGAGACAGACCCTGAGTTGTAAAGAACAGCCACAAGGGTCATGAAGTCCAGCCCATCCCCAAAGCAGTAATCCCTGCCCTAACACCAGGCTTCAGGAATGGAGCATCCTCTACGTGCAGGCACYGTGCCAAACGCATTACATGCCTCAGCTCCTTTCATGCTGGCAGTAAGTCTATGACGCAGGTTTTATGAAACTCTTTTTACAGAAGAGGAAACTGAGACTCAGATGGTTAAGTAATCCCTGGTGGGGAGTAGAATATTATGTGATACTGTTGGTCCAGGCAGCGTGCCAGACTTTGAAGCAATGAAAGTTGGGTTAAAATGTCAACTMTGCAGCTTCTCATCGTTACCTACTGTACTGTTACCTACCTCACGGGGTTGCTGTAAAATGCAAATGGAAGGAGATCACTAATAAATGCTCACCAATATATTAAGCTTGGTCCTGAAAAGGAAGGAAGAACTAAAGAGGAAAAACTTGGTGGGAGGAGGAATTCYAAGCAAAGAGTGGAGAGAGAGGATGAGCTAAGGTGACCCTGGTTTGCAGTGATGGGAGAAGAGCAAATGCTGAGGCTGGAGAGATGCATTAGGAAGCGTCTTCTATGTCACATTAAGGAAAGTGAGTGTCAAAGGAGACCGATGGAGAGGTACAGAGGAACATTCGATTTGCTTTTAGAAGATGCACTACTTGGAGAATGTTATGGTTTAGATGTAAGGTGTCYCCAAAGACATGAAAGCAAATTTAGAGATGAAATGATTGGGTTATAAGAGGCTTAACATAACCAGGGCATTACTCCCCCGATAGGGATTAACTTGGTAGTAACGGTAGGCAGGTAGGGGCCCTGGGGTATGTCTTTGGGGTTTGTATTTTGTCGTGGTGAGGAGAACTCTCTTTCTCTCTGTCACTGCTTCCTGGTGCAATGCCCTGACTGGCTTTCCTACACTCTACACTTCCACTATCTTGTCCTGCCTCACCTCAGTCCCCAAGGAATGGAGTCCACTGTCTATGGGCTGAGACCTCTGAAACCTTGAGCCCCCAAATAAATTTTTCCTCCTTTAACTGTTCTTGACATGTCTTTTGGCCATAGCAGCAGAAAAGCTGACTAAAACAGAGACACAGGTACTATGTACCCCTCCAACCATCTGTCCATCTTAGCATTCACAGAATAATTATTGAGTGCCACATCTGTGTCCAGAGAAAGGCTAGCCCCCGGGGGAACAGGATTCTAGACTCTGACTTCATGAAGCTTCCAAGGTTCGGAGACTCTTGCATTAACAGACAGGATACAACTAGGGCTGGGGCAAAGATAGCATCAGAGATGACAAGTCAGAGTTGCTAAGGAGGAAAATAGACAGGGCTGGGAGATTGATTGGGTGTGTTTTTGAGGCAGGGAGAGGGGCCAAGAAAAAGGAACCAATAGTAGAAGAAAGAAAGGAGGGAATACTCTGGAAAGCAGTGTGAAGATTCTTCAGAAAACTTRGAATGGAACTACCCTTTGACCCAGTTATCCYACTCCTTGGAATATATCCAGAGGAGTTAATCAGCCTACTATAGTGACTCACCCACATCAATATTCRCATCAACTAAACTATGGAACCTACTTAAGTGTCCTTCAACAGATGAAATGGATAAAGAAAATATGGTACACATACCCAATGGAATATTACTCAGCCATAAAGAAGAATGAAGTTATGGTATTTGCTGCTAAATGGATGGGACTGGAGGCTATCATGCTAAGTGAAATAAGCCAATCCTAAAAAGTCCTTTGTCTCTCTGATATGACAAAGCTAACTCTCAATAGGTGGGGGTTGGGGGAAGGATGAGTAGAGGTTCTCTGGATTGGATGGGGAGATGGGGGGAAAGAAAGGGGAGATGGGAACAAGAAAGACAGTAGAAGGAACTGGACATGATTTTCCTATGTTCATCTATGAACACATGACCAGTGTGACTCCACATCATGTACAACCACAAGAATGGGAAGTTATACTCCATGTATGTATGATATGTCAAAATACATTCTAGTGCCCTAGATAACTAAAAAGAACAAATTTTTAAAAAGTAGGGAAGGAAGCAAGAAAGGGGAAAAGGAGAGATAGAACCAAGGAGGAAAAAGTGCGGAAGAAAGAGAAGTCCAAAGTCCTCGTTATTAATAATGTATGTGGTAACGAAATGTACATATGGTAACTCAATGAAAGGTTTCATGTTGATAGAAGCTGATAGAGTGAGGTCACAGATGTGTGCAGAGATGTATTTATACACATTATGCCGATCTGCATTTACATCATGAAGCTCTGTATAGACACCTTCGCTGTGTCTATCTGTATGTACACTGGAACTGATGACATGAATATTGTCATTGGTGCTGGGGCTTTTTCTAGATGTATAGATGAGCACCCTGAACTAGTCTGGCCAGAACAATGAAGAAAGCACCCACCCAAATAAGAAAAAAAATGGAAACAATTAGTGCCATGTGTCAGTCTCTCATGGTAAACCCAACCCTTGGAATGCACCAGTCATCTTAAATGGGATTTGCACCTGCCAGACCCAGCTCCCTAATCCCAGGCCATATGTGTATCGTGGGAAATACCYCAGGAAGTATCCCTCTGTGAGACCGTTCCTGCTCAAGAAATAGGAGTGCATCCACCTTCTGTGAACAAAAGGAGGAAGTCTGTGACCATCTACCTTCTTTGAAATTAAGTGAATGGAGCACAATAGACATCCAACCAATAGCTGTTCAATGTAGAACCTTCTGTCTTCTTAGTGTGTAATTAGAAAAGGCGTTACAGCTCTACTGTTAGAGCTGGGAAAGACATTGTCATCCCACTGTCCATTCTGTGGGCAAGAGTTGTGAAGGGACTCACTCAGGTCCTGGATTATGTTGAAGGAGGGGCTGGGACCAAGGTGTGGTCCTCCTCATCTCCTGCCCTCCAACTGTACTTTTTATTCCAAACCCCACAGATACGTCTGGCATCACTTACGAATCTGGGAGTTTTCTGTTAGTTTGGCAAGTCCAAAAACTTAAACACACAAAGATAAATAGGATGAAAATGAGTTGAGAAAGAAATTGCAGAGTTTGGCTCATGGAAAAGTTTATTTCTTCAAGGATATTAAAAGAGTCTGAGCCAAACGGATCACAGAGCCTGTAATAGGATGCTCTAAAAAAAGAACGGTGTCTTTCCCTGGCCGGCATGTGCTAAATTTACAGAGGAGGAAAACCCAGAGTGTCTGGGTTTCCTTGGAGGCCCGAGTCAGCTCAGGAAACCCGGGGATTCTGCACTTGCAGTGGAACCCCGTATCGCAGGTCACACGTTAAGAGGGTCGGGGACAAACTGACAGTTGGTTTGGATGGAGGTGTGAGGAGATGTCTGGAAATTGTGTCACTCAAACAAGAAGTAGAACAAGCCAACATGATGCTAGCCAGAGAAGCATCAGGGAGATCCTTGCTGATTCCACCTCCCGAATCTCTCTCCACTCCTTCAACTCCTCTCCATTCTTACTTCCACAAACCTCACCCAGGGTACCACCGTTCCACGCCTGGATCCAGGTACAGCCACTCATCATTCCCTGTCTTCCTGGACTTTCCACCCTTCATCGTTTCTCTGCGGAACTGCTCAAGCAATCTTTATAACATGCACACCTCACCATAAACACAACCAGACCCAAGCATGTGGTGTCTGGTCACCGCCCTCAGGGTGAATTCAAACCCATCCTCACCTGGTCATTTTCCACCTCACCTACAGAACCTCTCCTGGCCCCACCACGCTCTCATGCTTTACACCCATTTAAACTTGTACAGAATTCCACAGGCTCTCCTAAGTAGTCCATACCTATTGGTAGCTACCATATTATAAACAAGAAGCAAGGATTTTAAAACTCACGATTACAAATGTGCCTTCTCTTGGTTAGCCATCAGAGCACTAAGAACATCATAGATTACACATCCAATGGAAAACCTCACTGTATTCTCTGAAGAGAATGAAAGTGAAACAGGCAAATGATATCCCAGTGATATCAGGAAAACAATTCTGACTTTGAGGATACCATGAAAACCCTTCCAGAAAACCTCTGGATCATGTTTAGAAAACTGCTGCTCTAAACATATTAGAGTTCTTCCCATTCTCAAATGTACTTTGTGACATTTCATGGGGAGCCTGTGTCTCCTACCTACTGGTCCCCAACTCTTCACAACTAATGACATAGTTCTCTTTACACTGAATGGTCACGGCCCACTTGCTCATCTGACTGCTCTGGCAGACGGTCAGGGCACCCTTGCCCTCTACTCAGGACAGAACTCAGCCCCATCCTGAGGCCGTCTCAGTTGAGAATAGGTTTATTCTATGAAAGTATGTAAAATATTGCCTGTTATCAGGGACACACACACACAGCTTCTGCTGTGACATCTCAGAGTGCGTTCGCTAGGGGTGAAAAAATTCCAACCAAAAATTGAAGGAAGAACTTTCTAAAAAAAATGAAGCTATATAACAGGGTACGGGGGAGCCTCAGTGAGGAAGTACACAGAGGGGATTCCTGCACTGGGTGGGGACCGGAGCTGCATGACCCCAGGCATCCCTTCCAACTCTGACAGCGTGTGATTCTGCGAGGCTGAGCCGAGGGTTTCTCCCAGACATCCCTCTTGCTTTACATTCCAGATGGGTTTGTTTAGAGTTCCCGAGTTCAACTCTCATTTTTATTTTAAGCTACTTTAGAAAATAAAGTACAGTGCCATAATTTTTCAACTCGGCTTTCCTCTCTGATCTCTCCTCTCGCTTTAGTCTATCTCTGGCTTTCCCTTTTCAACCTTCTTTCTAAAAATACAGAGGACAGCAGAGACGTTCTCACTGGCGCTCAAGGAGGAGACAGATCCTGCTTCCTCTGATGAGCTGGTGTAATAGTGTCCCCACCCAGTGACTGTTGGCATGAGCTGACCTGCACAACAGCAAGAATTAGTGGGTGGGGTCAGGCTCCATATGCAAGTCTCTGAGGGACAGGAATGGGGAGATAGAGCAGGGGAGGAAGGCACAGGGTCTCTGCCATCCTGGCCTCAGGGTCGAGTGACAGATGGCATTGGCAAAGGTGTTCTCTTAGTTACCGTAGAGAACAGAGCAGCTGTTTTCTATATAAAGTCATTATTCTGTAAGAAAGCACAGTTGTTGGCCCTTTGGAAGGCCTGAGAGACAACCCCAAGCAGGGTAGAGTCTSATGATGGGTGCAGCCCAGAACAGTGGCCAGGGTGGGTAAATGGATCTCCAAAAAGAGGTACAAGGAAGACATTAAAAGGAATCTATGTGACACATGTGAGAATGCCCTGGAAGTCTCAGAAATAACTGAAGAAAAATCAAAGATTATTGACACCTCAAAGACCTCAAACAGGTGCATCGACTAAGGTGACCTTGTTTGTACCCACAGACAGCTGAAGTCTGGAGGCTACATAAACACCTTTGCATCTTTATCAGGTATGTGGCCTCTTGGTGCCTCATTTCCTCACTGGTGTCATGAAAATAACATACTTAGGACAACGTAAGTGCTCTGAATATTTGTTGAATGAGTGACTGCGTGAATACTGGCCTTTCAAGGTGATCTTAAGATCAAACGAGATGGTAGAGGGGAAAGACCATAATAAATCACTGAATGCCATATAGGAAAGACTTGTTCTTCGCACACCTCCTCGTCAATCAGTATCCAGAAAACTGGCTTACCTTCGGCTTCCCGAGGGCTCCAGTGTCCTGATGGGCCACAGGGCATTGGAGAGGAGGCGTTGAAGGCATACTGCACCAGGATCCTCCCTTCCAGGCAAAGGTCACATGCTGATCCCAATTCTCTAGGAGGCCAAGGAAAGAGGGGAAATGCACAGACTTAGGAACAGTTGAATGAGCAACTGATGGGACGAGACCAAAGCAAACAGGGCAGAAGACACACATTTTATATCACACACACACACACACACACACACACACACACACACACACCTCTCCCAAGGTATGCTAAGGTTCAGAAAAAATGACTATAAGTGAAATTTCTCCCGTTGCCTAAGACCTCATATGGGCCAAAGTGGCTCCTGTCCGGATGGTGCAGATGCTTTTCTCATTTGAAGCAGCACAGAATCAACAAGCCAGAGGCCCGTCACCTGCAGTAATTTTAATTTCATCTGGCTGAGAATTTGCCATGTGGTTGTGAGAAAATCTGTTGCTTCATCTTGTCCTCAAAAGTGACTCTTTTAACAATATTCAGCAGGTACCTACTAGGTGCCAGGTGCAATCCTGTGTCATAGGCATTAAATATGAATAAGGCATGGATCCCTCATCTGAAGCTAAGTGATCTGGATGAGATGATGCCCGGGGAACCTTCCAGCCCTGACATTCTGGGGATGGATGAGTCACTCCTTAACTTAACAGTCAAAAACAGTTTCTGAACTATGCCATCTAATTCATTTTAGCAGCTTTCCAGGGGAAGAGCCAATCCCTCAATGGGACCAGCCCCAGAAGTGGAATATTATGGTGGCTTCCCCTACTGCCTTGTGTATCTGGATTCAATCTCCCTTTGGCCATAACAGCTCTCTGGGATCCGACTTGCTCTCTAAATTCCTCTGCATTTAGAAGACAGTTGTGGGGAAGGCAAAAGGATGAGTCTTTTCCTGCTGTATGACTGTGGATCCCAAACCCTACATAACTGAGTGAACTCTACAGAGAAATTAGAAACTGAATCTAGAGATATCCAGCCATAGCCCCGCCTGACTCTTCATTTCTTAAAATGCAATGTCCTGCTGTCTCTCAACCTAAAAGGAATCTCCGTACTTCGGCTACCTGAAAGGACACAGTGAAGAGCCAGATTGTTAAGTGTTAGGGCTCTCCCATCTCAGGGAAACTCCCTGTGCCTCCAGGCTCCAGTGGTAAGGAAGACATGCATGTGAGCATCACAGTCTGACTCTGCCCCCTACACAGTGGCCAGATTGTCCCCAAACCTCAATCTCAATGGGCCATGCTTACTTCATTGGGTAAGTCCAGCCCTCAATAACCCATACTATGGCATCCAACACCCCAGAGAACTGTTCTCCCCATCACTCTGGCCTTGTTTCTCTCTACTGATAGGCTCTGGTGAGCTGCCACATTGAGTCATGTTGTCCTCTCCCCCAATCCTTGCTTCTGTCACCTCATCCTTCAAGGTTCTCCTCAAATATCATTTCTTATATGAAGACAAATGAATTTCTCTCAGTCGTCTATGAGGTTCTTAAGGACACAGTCCATATTTTAGGGTTCTCTGTTTCTCCCAGGGCCAAGGATAACTTATTTCATAGTGTTGACCATCATATGTAGTTAATGGATAGATGGATGAGTAAATATCGGTCACTCAGATGCACTGCTAATATTTATGGCTAACCTAATCCAGACCTTCAAAATTCATGTTCTGCATTCTCAGGCGTATAATGGCAAGTGCCAAACTATACAACAGGTAGAAATTTTGCAAGCACAATAATATTCAATGATAGGAGAACAATGAAAAAAAAAAACTATGGTTAATCTGTTGAATGGAAGGCAAGAAGTTATTATGAAAGCATTTATAAAAATTATGCAGTTTTATGCAAAATGTGTAAAACTATAATATTAAGATGAAAAATTCATATTCAAAGCTGAATTTGCAAATGTCTCAACACTATTCAAATAATCTATATGACAAAATATTATTGTTAGTCGTTTCTGAATGGTGGAACTTATAGTGATTGATCTCCTCCCTTGTGCTTATTCTTCTTGGTTTTTGAAATTTTCTGTACATTTTAAATGCATGTAAGTTATTCTCATAAGAGCAATAATAGTAATTATATAAATGTACTTGTTGGGAATGAATTAGGGGTGGAGAGAGAAACTTGTTCAGCATTGTTAATGAGGGCAATTTCCTTAGACTGACTGTAATCCATGCACAGCAACTCTGAGTCACATGACTAGCTTTAGGGTGACAATGAGACTACAAATGTCCTGGAATGGGTTCAGGAACCATTGATCTTAATGATCACAGGGTTTTTCTTCCTATTTCCTTTAGATGTTTTCTTTACATGATGCACACAAAATCACCTGAATTTCATTGMATTCTCAACATATCCCAGGTCCCTAAGAAATGCTCAGAATGAGTGAACAAACCATCAACAGACCAAGAGCAAATGGGTGACGTCCTACACATCCTGGGAGTGCATGTGCTTCCTACGTTTGACATTTATTTGATTTTCATGGACACCTGTGTCTACACCCAAACACACACTGAAGTCATATATCCACAGGATGCTAATGCTGAGGGAGATCATCTTTCTTACCCAAGTTCTGTGAGACTCAAAGCTTAAAGCTTTAAATCTGTGCTGTTCAATACAGTAGCTACCAGCCACTTGCTGCTACTTAAACTTAGGCCAATTAATAGTCAATGTAAAAATTCTGTTTTTCAATCACACTAATTATAGTCCAAGTGCTCTTTTGCCACAGCCGGATAGTGGTTACCAACTTGGACAGGGTGGACATAGAAGATTTCCATGACCACATAAAGCCCTATTAGAGAGTGCTTCTCTAAGACATTCTTTATATAAAATGAATTAACTTGTCTCCATTACAACTCGAATTATACTGATTATGTCCTATCTTTGAGATAAGTGAAAAAAAATAGTTACTCAAATTGTTTTCTGTGTTCTGAGATATGGAAGAGAAAACTTGGTTGGGAAAGGCTAGAACCCTTTGGGCTTACAGATGAGAAGAACACTGAGGCTGAAGAGGCAGAGGGAATGGACRGGTTTGCATTCAAACCCAGGTATCTTGGTTCTGAGGCCAGTACTTTCTCCAATACACCATAGCCAATTGTTCAAATAACTGAAACCACCCAGTCAACACATGTTTGCAAGGCAGATAAAAATAAAGGAGCTAGAAAAACCAGGGGTGGCCTTGAATTATTTATTCAGTTGCCCATGTGTGAGGATGCAGGCTGTGGGAGGATCTGAATATGTTTTTTTTTTTTTTTAAAAGGGAAACCCTTGTATTCTCTTAGACCACAGATGTGAGAACAGCAGGAGGACTTGAGCACGGCCGGGGGTGAGATGTTGGCATTGATGGATGACGTGGAAAACACCAGAGGTTTTGCAGGGAAAGGGGATTTTCAAGTAGCTAAACAGCTTCAGAAAACATTGCACAAGATGGAAGCTAAAATTGCCTGAGTGTAGAGTCTATGTGCTTGTCCTATCGCAGATGTCATCTTGTTGAATTCCCCACAAAAGCSGGGTGATGTGGGCACAAGTGAGCACCTTTATTTTGGAAGAAGACACAGAGGATCAGAGAAGTGAGATGGCTTACCCAATGTCCAGTCAGCCGGGAGTAACAAAGCCGAGAAGGGAAAATGGATGAGTGGACATCAAAGCTTGAACACTCTGTACTAAGCCAATTTGCAGGAATGTAAACTCCAAGTGTATGGGAGAGTGATATACCTAAAATGTAGTTCTGTTTCAGCAATTTATTGAACTTGGGGACCGAGTTCCATTAGCTATCGATGACGCGGTTCATGCAGCTGTTAACCCTAATTAGATACGTTTCAAAAGTGTCAGTTTTAATTTAACCTATGATAACTCCATTATGAAATCTCAGACGGCACAGAATAGCTATTGTATGAGCCTCCAGTACCAACTGACTATAGGTTATTAAAAACATATTGATTGAAGCTGAGGGCACTGTGTAATAGAGACCTATCTCATTACACAACAATTAACCCTCCAATAGGCTTCCAACAATCAGATGGTATTTATTTAATGGACAATAACTGCTTTATGAAATACAAATTGAATACATACACAGGAAGCTGCATTTACAAAACTTCCATTTTTAAGTAGAATCGAGGCCAAGGACTGAGCAAAAGCCCGAAACTTCTCATCACCACAGAAAAAATAAATAAGTCTACGGGCTGCTGGAAAAGCCTCCTCTGAAGTGTCACATGAGGTTTCCCAAACCCAGTGCTGAGCTCCCAGTGAGGGCAGCTGGGGCAGAAGAGACTGGAGTTTCTACAGAGAGCCCGGGGAGTACGTGGTCCCCTTCCCCGCCGATCACACTCATCCAGCTGCCCAAGAAGGTTGAGATTCGGGGACTGATGGAAATGTGGAAAATCGGAGCCTGAATTTTACATGGTGCCATGATATACCATGTTCTTAAATTTTAAAAAATTCTGTTGATAASTGACATTGAGAATTTGTGAGGTACAATGTGAATGTTTTGATACATGTTTACGGAGTGATTAAACCAGGCTCATTCACAAATCCACTCCCTTTCATACTATGCATTTTGTGCCCCCCCCAAAATTGAAATCTACCCTTTTAGCAATTTTAGAAAATATGATGCACTATTGGGTAGTAATATCACCATTTTTGCAATAAGATCAGGAAAGCGTATTTCTCCTGTCTAACTGCTATCAGGTACCCTTTGATCAACATCTTCCCTTCCTCGGGAACCCTCCTCCTCAGCCTCTGCTAGGCATCATTCTGCTCTCCCCTTCTATGAGTTTAACTTTTAAAAATTCCACATCTAATTGAGATCGGGTGGCATTGGTCTTTCTGTATCTGGCTTATTTCAATTAGCATAATGTGTTCCAGATTCATCCATGTTGTCACAAATGACAGGATTTCCCCTCTTTTAAGGCTGAATAGTATTCTCTTGTGTATACACACCACATCCACAAAATCTTTATCCATTCATCTGATGGACGATTCTTAACTGGTTTCCATAGCTCAGCCATAACGAACAATGCTACCACGAACCATGAGATTGTGGATAATTCTTCTCCATACTGATTTCCATCTCTGTGGATAAATACCCAGAAGAGGGATTGCAGGATCATAAGGTGTCTCTATTTTTAGTTTTCTGAGGAGCCCGCATACTGTTTTCCACAATGGCTATATTTATTTACATTCCCACCAATAGCCTCAGAATGTTCCCTTTCTTCCACATCTTCTCCAACCCTTGTTACCTTTTGTCTTCTTGATAATAACCCTCCTAACAGTGAGAGATAATATTGTAGCTTTTCTATGCATTTCACTGATAATTAGTGACCTTGAACGTGTTTTCATTTACCTTTTGGCTATCTCTATGTCTTCTTTTGAGAAGTGTCTACTGAGGTCCTTTGTTTAATATATTTTTGTACGCACATGAGCACTCATAGAGAATCTTGAAGATGGGAGCTGTTTGTCACCCCTTTGTGGCTCATTTGCAGGAAGGTACAATACCTCCTTCATAACTCTAGTTTTGAAACAGCTTCATGGAAGCACATGGGAGTCACAGACAAAACATTGGAAAGTATGAGTTGGAGTCCAGCCCCCACTACATTCTAGGGGCTTTTGGTCAAGTCTCTCATCTTTTTTTCAACTCCAATTCTCTCCTTGTCTGGCATATGAGGAAGATGATCTCTTTCTTAGTGGGGGTACTGGAGATGTTAAATAAGACTCTATAAGCGAAGCATTTAGTATACAATCAGCCACATCGTAAACACTTGAAAAATAGCAGCAACCCCAATAGAGAAACAATACTTAATTATCAGCATGGCTATCATTTTCACCATCATCAATGTTATAGCAACGGTGCTAGAGGAAACATCCCCAAGAGGAGCTGTGAGTGGGGTGATATACTCATCTTCCCTGAATTACAGAAGAGGTCCAAAATAGATGTTAACGTTATGTTATGTGATCACGAACCTGGCTTTAAACCTGGCTCCCTCCAGACTTGAGCTCCTCAGGGATTCTTCAGGCTGAAAGGAACCACTAGGAACTGTTTAGTTCAGATCTTTGCCTTCTGTCCATTGAGTGTTATCAGACCCACTTTCCAGAGGGAAGAGAATAAAACTCAGAGAGGGAGAGTGACTTGTTGTCTAAGGTCATAGAACCAATTGGTGATTGACAAGGGAGGGAGTGGAAGTAAGGTCTATTTTTCTCTGGACTTCTAAATATTTCACCCTCAGTTCTACAAATAAATAGCAGACATAAATATTGTGAATATATGTTATACATATACATTCTTGCAAATATATACATGCATACACATGTGCCACAATAGAAAATGTGAATTATACATAATAGAATATGAAGGGTTTGGCCCAAGATCATGGAGACGGGTACCTCCCACTCAAAGGAGGTTTCTAGCAATAGAAGTTTTTAAGTTCTTAGTAATAAAGTAAATCTAAACATGTATTCACTTAAAATTGGGTATCATTAACCGATTCATTTCTATCAGCAAGCATTTGTTCGTTCCCTGACCCAAAATTTACCACCTGCTTCCAGGTACCAATCACTGTGCTAAGGGGCAGGGGTGTCCCTTTAACAAGCACAAGAAACAGCGCATACACAGCAAAATCCCTCTCCAAGGCTCCCTCCCTTCCAAGTTTCCCCTCTTCTTGGCAGGAGAGAGAGTGGGATCAACACTTCACAGGCCACACTCACCTTTCAAAGAAGTGGCCATCGATGGGTGGGAACCACTCCAGCGTCACRGAGTCCATGGTGTGGCCCACGACCTGGGGAGCGAGAGCGACGGGCGCCGGCTTTCTGGAGGGCTGCCAGCTCTGGTACACCAAGTCCAGGTAACAGTGCATTCTGGCGACTTGATTGGGCGTGAAGGAGTCTGTACAGTCGTCATCTGCAAGCAGGCAGAGGGAGAGATAAGCACCGAGCTGCACGGGCAGGCAACAGAACGATGACGTCTCTTGGCGGCCAGAGAGCCAGCCAGCACCCGGGTCCTTCCTTGCCAACTCAGGGTGGCCTCTTCCAGTGCTCAAGAGTTAATGGTCTGTGAACAAATTAGTGTAGTCATCACTCCTGCAGACAGGTGAGAGGAAGCAGGAGGAAGGGGAGGGTGGATGGAACTGGAAAAGTATGCCTGAGACTGGGGAGAGGGCAGCCAGGAGGGCACAGCTGAGGACAAGGGCAGGCGAGAGGCTTTCTAGGGTCTCCAAATCYTGGGGTCCCCAAGGAGTCCCTCACTGCCTCCCTTCCCCCGTCTCATCCACTSTCTCACTCACTCATCCTCTTGCTTTTCCACTTATGACTCACTAGTTCATGTGCTCACCAGTTTCCCCAAGTCTTCCCTCGCCTTCCTTCATCCACTTATTTGTCAATTCTTTTTTTAATGGATGGAATGATATGGCCCTTCACGAAGCCTTCTGAGCGTCTAACGCAAATCCTCTGCTCCGTTAAGGGGCACGGAAAGAAGAAACCAAAAAAACGTTCTACCCTTGAAGAGCTTTGGGTCTAGTTATGGAGTCAAGGCCAGCGTACTGAATGCGTCAAGGTTGTTCTAAGGTCGCTGAAGTCTGTGATGTCCACCACCACCAATGATCGGACGGAGACAGCAGGTAGGGGAGGAGGGGAGCCAGAAAGGTTTCTGAAGAGGAGAGATCTGARGTCACATTACACGGCTGGGACTAGGAATGAAAGTTGGGCGTTGCCAGAGAGGAAACTCACAGCCACGGAACCTCCGTGTCCTGTGCAAGAGCACAGGACAGGTCAGAATCAGGCAGGCTCAGCTCAGTGTGCAGATGGGAAAATGCAGTTATACCCCCACTCATAGTTCTGTCCCTGGGACAGGTGCTTAGTATGAGCCAAGCATGAATCAAACATGGTGCATAGTCTTGGGGACACATTTAAACCCCTCTCCCCCAATACTCACTATTTTTTGGAGTGCCTTCTATCATTTCCTCCATCTTAGAGGAAAAGGTAACCGGGGATGAGAGAGGGCAAGCAACTTTTCCAAGATCACAGAGCTAAGCACAGATTTGAGATGTGAACCCCAGCAGCCAAGACTCCTGTCTGTGCTTCTAATGAGCATGAGAAATTCTTTCTGAGAGTAAATGAGAACTCATATGCACAAAGTCTCCTGCAGGTGGCTGATAGATAGGAGTGGAGACTGGATCTGAGCCTGAGGGAGATGGGAATGTTATCTCTCCGGGGCTTTTTGGTCTAATGATCCTCAATCTTACTCTCTCTCTCTCTTTTTTTTTCAGGATGTGGATTAAAGATGTGACCCAAGACCTGGCCCCCAGAGAGCAAGGCACTGTGTTGGCTTGGTTTCCAAAAACATCACCTCTCAGAAGTGTCTGTGTGGTCAGGGTTTCTGTAGCTGGGCCCCAGACAGAGGAGTACATCACTCTTCTGATCTTAAAATAAACCTGCTACTGAGAATCCTGCAGCATAAACTCACTTCTCCTTATCAAACAAACAGAAAATAAGTTGGTCAGGTGCTGGGGAGTTAGACATGACCTTGGCGGGAAGGGACAGACATGTGAGGGAGTTTTTACCCAGAAGCTGCCTTGAATCCCTTAGTGATTTTTAACAGTCTCCTCCCAGCTTTCCTTCCCAGCTCTCACTTGGAGGGAGCAGAAAAACCTGATGACCCTTCAGAAGCATTGTATAAGAGTGATGGAGTAACCCATCTCAAAGTCAGATACACCTGCAACTCCATGAATACCAAACATTCTATGGCTCCCCAATACCCAAACACCTCTGTTAAAGAATGGCCCGGATCATCTGGTCATTTTTTTCTTCATCCTGAAAACCTTAGAAGGGCTACTGAATAGGTAAGATACAGGAAATCATCATGATGGCTAGGGAAGGAAGTATAGTTATTTATTCAGAGTAATGCACATAGGATCTAAAGTCAAACGGACAAGTGACTTTGTGTCCTTGGTTTCCCCATCTGTAAATGAAGACGGTGACGATAACAAGAGTGCTCATCTCGGCACACGGTGAAGGTGAAAGAGTGCAGGGTTCAAGAGCAATGTCTACTGGTGTTCGGTGGTATCTGACTACCTCACGTTAGGGAATATTGTGTGCACATGATAGTGCATGACTGTAGAAAGCAGGAAGCGGGAAGAAAAGTAGAATGCAAAACACATGTTCTTTTTGATCTAGCAATTCACAATCATGAGTTCAACAGAGAGATGTTCCTGGACAAATATGGGGAAAATACATGTGTTGGGATATTCCTTGAAGCATCACTGATAATAGTAAAAATATTAGAGCTGGGCTGAGGGGTGTGGCTCAGTGGTAGAACACTTGCCCAGGGCATGTGAGGTCCTGGGTTCAATCCCCAGCACCACAGGGGAAAAAAAAAATCAGAGCTGATACATCTGTCCATTAATAGGGAGTTGACTGTCTATGGTAGGGCACAGAATGAAAAACTATCACTACCGAAAAATGAAGTAACTAAGAAGAAGTGTCTTCATGTACAAATTAGAGACATTCAAATCAACTTCAACCCATGGGTAATTGTGAGAATTCGAAGAGGGGGGGGCATATAAAACATTTATCAAGATGAGTGGGGATGAACAACAGTAAGGACGTTTCCCTCTGTCAATTTCAGATGTATTTGCTTTTTCCCCTAGAGAAGTATATTTTCCTTCATAACTTAATAACTAAACTTTTTCATGTTTGTCAATAAAAAATTCTGGAAATAGACAGGTAATAGAATTTAGGAGGGAATAAGAATGTATTTGAAGATTAAAGCTGAAGCTGGAAGACACCTGTCCCAGGGCACATCACATAGAGAATCACCTGCTATCAGAACCTTGGGTGAGGTCCCACAGGCTTTACTTTTATCACAAATGCTCTGTCTCAATTAGCTAATGTCTCAAGTCAGCCCTAATTGGCTTCTTGCCCCTAAATGTCCCTCTCCCACTATCTGCGGCCACTTCATCCTGGCCTCCAGGAACAGCCAGCTCCTGGGGTTCTTCTGTGCCCATGTTACCCCTAAGCAGAAAGGACTTTGGGGGCCTTCCTTCCCAGGTCACCATACTGTTGTCACAGTGTTCTGAGCTTGTTAACTGAGTCTTGGTCTCAAGAACTAATCTGCACCTGTAACTGCAAGTTTGCACTCTAGGACCTTGGGCAGAAGTGCTGACCCTGTCAGCCTCAGTTTCACCCACTGTGAACTGAGGAATACTATACCTGCCTCATAAAGCAGATGAGACCCATTTAACAAGCTAACCATATCTAGGGCACGGATGCCTGAATCAACTTTTGTAAAAGCCTTTTTTTTTTTTTTTAAACAATGATAAAGAAAATAATAGCCCTAATAATAAATAATTGTAGAAGTTATAGATATTTACTATAGAATATTTGAAATATTCCTAGGGATAGGATGGCAGGATCAAAGCATTTGTGCATAGTAAAAGACTCTGACACACGAAATACGGGAACATGGCTTGTAGTCTGGAGAAACCCTGATTTCTTGTAGTCTTAAGGAGGTTCCAAGTGGAGGGTCCTCTTGAGTACCCCCTTTGTATGGCCTATTATCTTCAGGTGTAGGGTCAGGGATGCTGCCCAGCTATAAGTTAAAGGTTGTCCAACAGTTCAAAATAAATATACTCCCTTGGTACGTTCTGTTTGCCCCTATCACCTGCCCGCTGTCTGTTTGATCTGAGCACTTGGGACCCTTCCTCAGGATAGGAAAGCTCTATGGTAATAGACTTGGGTATAAGTCACAACTTTGGCCCATTTTATCTGTGTGACCCTGGGCTAGTTCTTAAGTTATCTGAACTACACTTTGTGCATCTGTAAAATAGGTATGATGAGAATAGCTCTCACCTCCTTGAGTTATTTTTGAGGATTCAGCACACACACAATGCCTGACATATCTTAGGTACTTAAGAATTATTGAAGGGGAGGTTTTGGGGAATGAGATAGGTCAAATTATGTGATGTGGATATATGTATAAACCACAGTGAAATCCAACTCTTCTGTATAATCAAAATGCACCAATTAAAAAAAAAAAGAATTATCCTAAGCCCGAGAAGACCAATACGGTGGCTAAAAGCACATGTGACTTTTTCAATTTAAATTAGTTAAAATGATTTGAAAATAATAATTCAGGTCCTTGTCACCCTGGTTGCATTTCCAATGCTCAAGAGTCCCATGTGGCTAGTGGCCGCCATATTGAAAAGCACGGACTTGCAGAGAGTTCTGCTGGGCCATGCTGCATTGACTAAAACTTTTACCCAACCATGGACCAGGCTTGGGGAAGAAGCATCCAGAAATCAAAGGCCACGGGAAGAAGTTGACTGGATAATGCTTCCACCCATTCTTCTTGAAGAAGGGAGTCCTGGGCCTGGCCTTCTCCCACCCTGAGAACCCAATCTTGTTCTGCATTTTGAATTCCATCCAGCTGCTTTTGTCACCTCATCTGTCAGAGATCCTAAGGGAAACAAACATTTCAAAGCTCGTGGTCGCCTTGAATATGCTTTTGCGGGTGTAAGTTTGTTATCGTAGTTCAGTGAATTAGTTCTGCTGTTAATGGGTCACTGAGCTGAGGGGGTTCCTTTCAAAAAAAACAACAGTAAATCCATCACTCTTTAGATCTGTACAAAGGGGAACAACAAAAAAATTTAGTTTATGGGGGTCTGGTAGCTAGTGGCTGCTTCTAGGCCTCTAAGAGGCCGGCAAACTTCCAAACTCATGTTATTGTTTATTTTCCATGTGTGTTGAGCTGGCCAAGGAAAGGTGCTACGGAAATGGAACGTCAGCAGGGCTGTGTGAGGGGACAGGGGCACCGGATGTGGAGTGTCAGTGTGGCTGGGAATGGCAGCCCAGTGGGAATGTGCTTTTGAGGAAATACCCTACACCCTTGTGTATTTTTAGAGATTTAAATCTAAAGTCTCTTTATCGTCCAGAGGTGGGTTACTGGCTTTTCAAAAGATGTCAAATTTGACTGTAGGAAACTTATAAGAAAAAAAAAAACGGTCCCAAGAGGACATAAACCCAAAGGGGAAAAGAGGAGGGACCAGTGGGTTCATCAAATCTTATGGGTTTCAGTAGTAAAATCCTCTCTTCAAATATTATCCCTGTCAAAACTCCTGCAGAAATGTCCGTCCATTGGAAAGGGGCTTCCCTCGTTCAAGCAGGAATGGGGGCTTAGAACCCCACTCTCATGGCCCCATGGGGCAGCTACCCCAGGCACCTCTGTGGAACAAAGTATGAAAACCACCCAAGGTGGGTGCTCAATTCTTCCACACGTGTGACTTGGAGCAAAGGAGTGCAGTAAACCTCAGTACTGTCACTTGTGAAATCGGGGTGGGGGGATCCTACCCCACAGAGGAGTTGTGAAAATTAAATGACATGGAGCATATTAAAGTATTTTATGGGTAATAAATTGTTTTATGAGGGGAAATACTGTTATCAGTAAGAATCCATTTTACATATCTTCTGTAAGAGATTTTATTTCTGTCTCTCCTCTCCTCCCCTCCCCACTTCCTTTCCTTTCTACCTTCCTTCCTAACACACTTTTATTGGGCACAGGCCCTGGGCTAAGTCCTGGAAATAAGTGATCTATGAGATGCCATCTCCTCCTTTCAGGGAATTTGCTTGTTCTATTGGGGAAAGAGATGCCTACATTGAGTATTACAATAGAGTTCAATGCTGGCCTACTGTGTGCAAGTTTGTGGATGGTCCCTTTCATGTGGACTATTCACTGAAGGAGCTGGTGGTGAGGGTTGTGGTACCCTGAGGAGGGTGTGTCTTGTCCTCATTTTTTTTTTTTAATATTTATTTTTTAGTTCTCGGCGGACACAACATCTTTGTTGGTATGTGGTGCTGAGGATCGAACCCGGGCCGCACGCATGCCAGGCGAGTGCGCTATCGCTTGAGCCACATCCCCAGCCCTTGTCCTCATTTACCAAAGGTCTCAGAGGGCTTGTAGTGGCCTTGACAATCAGGTGCTGAAGGGAAACTCAGGGCATCTGAGAACCTAAAGCATCCTTGTTACTGATGGATAGAAAAGGTTTAAGCAGTTGTGAGAAAAACATGCCCAATCTCATGTAATAATTTGGTATTTACAAAACCAAAAGCCCTTCTTTTTTTTTTTTTTCTTTTTTTGCAAAAAAAGCCATAAAGGAAGGTACAAGAATCTTATGTTTGTCTAAGAGAGATTTAGGTTAAATAAAAAAAATGTTCAACAACCCCCCACCTTAGAAAAATACAGGTGAAAAACTGGAAGGGACTTTGGAGATAAAGTCCAGAGATTTTACTTTCTTGAGGAAAGTGAGAGCCAGAGAGGGGATACTTTCAAGGGATTAGGTCTCAAGAGGACTTCTACCTGCATTTCCTGCATATGGGTCCCTGTCACCCTCCTAAAGCATGTCTTACTGAGAAGCTTTGATATGCATCATCTTCCTTGTAGCCCTAAGATGTTTAGGAGGGAAATATTTTTCTGATTGCTTGGGATAAGAACTCAGTCTTAGGAAAGGAAAGCAGCTTGTTTGAGGTTATCCTGAGCCAGGATTGGAGCCCAGGTGTGATGCCCAAGGGAGCACAGGACCCTACCTGCATAGCTCATGAAGTTGTTGAAAGGAGTGTTGAAAAAGCTATGAAAGCCACAGGTGTCATTTCCTGGTCCTGGGTCGCCACAAAACTTGTGTTTGGGGGCTGGGTTGGTGTCATTGCAGAGGTCTCCGGTCTCAAAAGAGGGCTCTGTCTCCATGCAGGGGTCGCTGCAGGACTGGATCTCTGAGATGCCTCGGAAGATGTGATAGAGGCCCAGGCTGTGCCCRATCTCGTGGATCATGGTGTGGGTGTGCCCAGGAATGCCGTAGAAAGAAGGGTTCAAGACAATGCCACCTGCAAGGGGGAAACCAGAGTGTGAGGCAAGGTGGGTATCCTGCTTCCTGCTGCAAGAACCCTGAGTCAACCAAAGATAAAGGGAAACTTCCCAAATAGCAACAGGCTTCTCCACCCTGTGACTCTATAACCCTGAGTGCTGTTACAACCTGAGACATGAATCATGGGCTTACGGAGCAGGAAGGAGTTTCACAAGTCATTTTGGAAAATTCCTTCATTCTTAGATGACAACACCGATGCCTGGAGAGGTGAAGCAACGTACATGCAGCGATTTCAAACTATCTAGAAGGAGAGGCCTGAGTTGAATTCAGGGACTCTAATTTCTGGGCTGATAGGGCTTTCTGTTGTCACCTTTATCTTAGTAATAAGACATGTCCTGGTTTACAAACAGCTTACAGCTTCAGAACTAAATGAATCCTGCACATGAGCTTAGACATCTTGGTTCCAGTTCTCATTTTGCCTTCACTAACCGTGATATTGCACAAGTTCATTATTCCCAAGGACTCTAAAAGCAACAATACTCATGAAGCCTCGTGTCATGTGCTCACCATTATAATAATGTTTCCTGAGCATTTACTATGTACATTCAGGTGCTGCGCTGGGTATTTCATGAGTACTTTCACATTTAATCATCTCACAACTCCATGAGAGAGGCACAGATTCAAGAGAAGTAAAGTAACCCATCCATGATCAAGAGTAAGTATGGAGCTGAGAGTTGAACTCGAGATCCTTGGGTTCCAAAGCTAGGGTCCTTAATCTGTGTTCTACTACTAATGCCTACCTCAAGGCCTAAGATATAGTGTTTCATTAAATGTGTGTGGAATATTTCCTGAATATTGACTCATCTAAAGCAGGTTGGGAGGTCTAACTAATCCCTCAAAGCAGCTAGCATAGCACCTGACATACATCAATTGTGCCACACAAGTGAATGACGGTCCATCCACATGAAAAAAAAAAAGCAGTATAAACATCTCCCAGGAGTTTAGTAGAAACGCAGAATCATTGGACTCTACCCTAGACCCACAGCATCATGATCTGTATTTTAACAAGAACCCCAGATCACTTATGTATGATCTAGATTGGAAAGCAATGTTCTACATCCCATGTCCCCAAAGATGGAGCATTGCTTAGTTAGCTGAGGTTAGGTAGAGCAGTTCTCAGCAGAATCGATGGATGGAATTTGTTCCACATTTATTTTAAGCATTAGAAGGATGCATGCAGGTTGACAGAGAAATGTTTAAATTTCAAAATACAAACATGTTTAAGAGAATGTTAAAATTCATGTCTGAGAACCTTGCAAGTGTAGACTTTAGCCACAGAGTAGCATCTTATGAAAGACAGGTGAGGAGGCAGGGCCTGGGTGATTTGGGCTGGCAAGCCCAGAACAGGCCAGAGAGGAGTCTTATCTTGGACTGAACTGCTGGGGTGGTGAGCTTGCTCAATCCGGGGAGTCTATTAATTCTGAATTACTCAGGACTTCTAACACAAAGATAAAGATGTACATACGAGAGGGTGTGTGGGTGTGGGTGTGCATGTGTGCGTGGGTGTGAGAAGGGGAAGACAGATGCAGGGAGGAAGAGAAATTGAGAAGGAAATCTTTCTCCATTATTTTCTGTCAATCATAATATGAAACATAATCCCCTTCCCACCCAAGGTTTTTTTCCAAGGATCATGGTGTAACTGCAGGAATAAAGGATAAAAAAAATGTGGTTCTAATAAATTGAGTTTGATTGGGGCTACTGCACAGAAGTTGCTTATGATCAACATGTCTCAGAATGGGGAGGTGGCAGCTTGCAGGCCAGCTGGAGGTAGCCTGACATGGGTCACAATCCAAGTTCTGCTTCACAGTGGCCTTGTGAACTTGAGAAACTGACTGCATTTCGGAAGAGTTCTAAAATAACTGGCTGCAATAGTGCTAATGATTCTTTGTTGCTTCACGAAGCTTGTATATCAAGGTCATAGGGGGCAGGACCATTCTAAGTATAATGGCAGCACAGACAACTTTCATCCAGGCTGGCTCTGTTTGTTCTACCTTAATTCACCCTTTCCACAGAGTGACAACACTGGACCCAAGTCCTGTTTCATTGCTCCTCTTAAAAGGTGAAATAGCTTGAGCCTGACATCATCCTGAAATACTATAACATGCTATGGATTTATAGCCTCCCAAATTCCTGGCCCCGAGCCAGTCCCTGACATTCATGAAATTATCAGGAATATTTTTCTCTAACTTTAGAAGCCTGCTGTTCAACCCTTCTCAGACTATGATCATCACCCTTTGGGTTGCTTTTCCAGCAGGCAGAATTTCAGAGCTGAGAAGGGTCTTTGGAGGGCTATCCAGTCTAACCTGCTTAACTAAAATCTAAGGACATTGATCCCTGGGAAGGAAAGAGATTTGTCTAAAGCCATACTGCTGAGTGAAGTCACAGGTGAGAACCATGTACTTTAGCTCTGGTTTAGTATGATTCTCAAACTTCATAGTAGGCATATGATATAAAATGGTCATCTTCAGGTTTGCTTAAGTTGTATATTCTCTTCTGTCCAACCCCTGCCTCTCTGTGCCTTATCTCTGTCTGTCTACCCACCTATCACTGATGTCAGGGTTTATCGGGGTTTCCCAATCTCAGCACCATTGATATTTTGGACTACAGAATTCTTCATTGTGGACATTGCAAGGCATTTAGCAGCATTGCTGGCTTCTACTTGCTGCATGCCAGTAACATTCCCGCATTGGTAATAGTCAAATACCTCTCTACACATTGCCAAATGTGTGCTATTGGAGAGAATTTCCCCAGTTAAAAACAACTAGATATTTATCTTTGCATCCATCTCTTTTCATGCATACATGTACACACACACACACACACACACACACACACACAGATTTGTTTCATTTCTTAAATACAGTTGAGACATAAAAGCAGTCTGAAGGGAACCAAGCTTATGGCTTAGTTGGGCACAACTTCCATCATCGGAAGTTGCAGAATTTCTCGTCTCCAAGATATCCCAGAGTTAGAGCAGTTATTGAACTCTGAGTGTATCCCAGCGAGACCAGGCAGGTCTGAAGATCCAGCCAGCACTGTCGTTTTGCTGAGCCCTAACATTCTCAGATGAAGATGTTCACTGAGTCATCAGAATTCATTGTTGTAAATAATGGGAACACTCTACCAAGAGGAGAATGGTTAAATCAATTGTAGTGCCTTTATTCAAAGGAATAGTATGTGACTATTAAAAATTTCATCTTTAGGGAGGTGTAAATAACCCAGAGAGATGCTTTTGTCTTGAGATTTTTAAGTGAAAAAACTTAGTTGGAAAGTAATTATGAGGCTTAGTTGGAAAGTATATGTAGACAGATAGCATAATATTAAGTGAAAAGAAAAAGAACTGTGTGTATTTAGAGTTCAAAGATGCACAAAATTTTTTTAAAGCACATCTACCTATAGATGTGTACTAGATAGAATATGGGAAAAAAATTAAAGAACTATAGTGGTTTCTTATAGGCCCTGGTTCAGAAATCATTGTCATTTCTTATTGGTTTGTATAAATTTATGTTCTGTTTATGGACATGCATAATTTAAGTGTAAAAAGAGTCCCTGGTGTTATGGGTAGATAGAACACAGAGGAACAGAAAGTTCTTACGAATGCACTTCCTCTTGTCTCTTTGCTCTCTCTCGGGCCAGCTCATGATGGGTCATGCTAATGCAGTTGATTACCTGGTTAAGAAAATGTTTGCATGAACTGGGAGACAGAATGTTAAGAAGAAAGCAATCAATGGAGAGTCAGACATGAGTTCTAGTTGCAAATCTGTCACTGATTGAGTGTGATGTTAGATAAGCCTCATTCCCCTAGGTCTGAATTTCCTACAGGTAAAATATGGCTACTGGTATTGTGCTATTTTCTTCAGTGCATTCCTTGGTGGCCAAAATGAGATAAAGAATGTTGAGTTTTGTAAACTAATAAGGAAACGGGTTGCTCACTTTCACCACCCACCAGCTACACATTGTGATMATGACAATGATCATGCTCACTACTAAATGTGTTACTGTCTATGTTCAGGTTCCTCCTGGAGGAGTTTGTAAGACTCACCTAAGTGCATGAGGGCCTCCTTATCCCATGGCCATGTTGCTACTCCCGCCAACTCCTCCTCTGAAGAGTTTGCAAAGAAAATATTGAGGTGTGTTGATCCATCCAATCGAAGAATGTTCTTCAGCTCATTAACATCCAAGTAGGCTCTGAAACAGAAAAAGAACTTTGGCTGTTATCATCATCCAAAAAAGGTACTATTCAAACAACAAGTACTCCCTAAATAATTAAGAGCTATTATGTGCCAGGCACTTTCCTCAACTCTTTGTAAACATCACTTTGTTGAATTTTCCTGATAACATTAAAAGATTAGATGATTCCATTTTTACAGATAACAAAAAATTAAGTCTTGCAAATATTGCTCAGTTTATAAATAGCAGCATTACGTTTTGAATCTAGATTTGTCTATGATCAATGTTTGTACCCCTAAGGACTCTGTTAAATTGACTGAGGACTGAGGACGGAGCCAATAACAGGAGCGGATGAAAACACATATTTTCTATTCTTGGCTGCTTCTGCTTTTTGCTCATTCATTTGAGTTTTGGGCCATCTATTTGGAAAAAATGTGGATGCACTAGGAAAATGGGCTTCACATCTCTACATTAACCCTGCAAGGAGTCACTGTTATTGTGTTTTCAAGATGAGCAACCTGTGCCCCAGAGTTTTTAATAGGTTACCCAAAGTCATAGAAACAGGGTTCAAGGTCAAGAGTGGAATGTAAGCCTGGAAACCTCTCTTCATGGAGGCATCTTGCCATCATCCATAGATGATTCTGCGCTCTCTGAAATTTTATTTCCACATCTGATTAGACTAGAGAGGGATATTGTGTTTGGGTTGCTGTCACTGTAGACTGGCACGTCCTGAAAATGAATGAGCTCTTTTAGCAATAAGGATCAGCTCTTTAATACATGGGACGAATGTGTTCAAGAACGAGGGCAAAAGAGAGTGAGAGAACAAAGGAAGTGGTCACTGGCATATCCTAGGTGCTCAAGAAATAAGAACCCCTCCCCTGGGGAGCGCGACTTTCATCAGAACATAAACACTGCATGTGAGAGAGTGCCTTCGGCTTTGGATCAGTCACAGGGATATTATTCCACAATTCATTTTATAAATACATTGTGCCCTGTCATGCTTTTTTAGGGGGGTGGGGAGTACCAAAGATTGAGTGGTGCTCAACCATTGAATGCCATCCCCAGCCCTATTTTGTATTTAATTTAGAGATGGGGTCTCACTGAGTTGCTTAGCACCCAACTTTTACTGAGGCTGGCTTTGAACTCAATCCTCCTGCTTCAGCCTCCAGAGCTGCTGGGATTATCGACGTGTGCCACCACACCTGAGCCTCTCATGCTTCTTTCTGCCCCATTTTGCCTGCCATCATGAATCTCAGGATCCTTGTAAGTAGTTGACAATCATTCCTGAGTACAGTTAGGAATGAATCCATGGATCAGTGAATACAAACCTAAATAAACACAAAAGCCGTCACCTTGAGCAGGAGATGAGATAAAGCCAACTAGTATTTGTTGGGTCCTTCTGTGTGGTCTAACTATTCTTTTTGATAACAAGGAGGTAGACAGTATTGGTATCCCCATTTGCTGGGTGCAGGAGAAACAGAGTCTCAGAGGAACTTCATTCTTCATAAGGTCATGCAGCTAGTTGACAGTGTTCTGTTTTTTCATGGAGTTCTCACAGAACCTGGCCAGGAGCGCACATTAACGATGGATCCCTTTCTTCCCTCCCTGCAGTTAATGGAGGGGCCTCTCTACATGTGAGGGTAAAGTCCAAGCCTCCAGCATGGCCCAAACGTCCATCCCTGCCTACCCTTGGCTTTGTCTCTCTCTGCCACCTCTCTTGAGCTTTCCACTGTGTACAAACAGCATGATCCRGGTTCTTGGGACCTTTACCTATGCTGTTTCCTCTCTGGGCCTCTGCTCATCCTTTTGTCYTCTGATGCACAAATCTGAGGTCCATTCTGGTATCACTCCTCCAGAAGGCTGCACTGATGCCCACCTCACCGCCATCCCCCATTTCCACCTCTGTACTCACCCACCTCCTTTTGGTGATGTAGACTCTCACATGATTCCCATTAATCCCTTCACCTGTCTGTATATATCTCTTTTTTTTTTGGGGGGGGGGCATTTTCAGGCAAGGAAGCTACCTTATTATCTCTGTTTACCCAGTTCTTAGCTCGGGGCTTGACACCTGGGGAGCCAATGGATTCGAATTGGCTAATCCATAATTTTTATAGCTTGTCAGGAAAAATAAAATTTATCATGGGTTGGAGATACAGGCAAGGCGTAAACTGAATAATTCTAGGGATAGTCATATAAGACAGATATTGATCCCAAATCTTCCTGCTGAGACCTCTCCCCCAGAAGTTCATGTGTGACTTCTAACATTAGAGCTTCCTGAGGAGCTCTAATCAATCAGTCTGTTCTGTCACCAGAGAGGGGGAAAGAGGGTAGAAAATCCAGCATTTATTGAGTATTTGCTTCATGTCAGCCCCTGGGCTAAATAGGCACATTTTCTCATCTTGGTTTAGTATTTGAAGTATGTAGAATGGGTAGTGTGGCTTGTTCTCAAGCTAGAACCCCAGGGTTGAATCCAGCTTTTCTTCTTCATGTTTGGGCCATCCTGGGCCATGGACTTAACTTCCTGTTTCTTTATGGATGGAATGAAGGTGATGATAGATAATAGTACCAAACCCACAGAGTAGTTCAGAGGAGTAAGGAAGTTAATGGGGAAGTGTGAGGGTTTAGATTAGGGTGGGCAAGGAGAAAGCCCTTGACCCAGGTTTAGCTGTTTCTTAATTTATCCCCATCTTAAAGACAAGGAACAGGGGTTTGTCRATCATATAACTTGATAAGGCCAAGTACAGATTTAGACGTGTCCCACACTTCCCACCACCTTACCAAGTCCCCAAGCTCCTCCAGACCCGCTTATAAAAGGGAAATGATACTTGGGAAGAGAATGAAAACACAGAGGAGCCGAGATTTTCTTGGATGGGCCCATTCCACATTATTTTTTTTTCTCATTACTTTGTCCATTTCCATCAAATGCAGAGAACATTTCCTAGTAACACTACTGTTACTAGAAAAAAAAAAAAACACCTCTGTCCCATTGCTCTGGGATGAGAGGAGGGCTCAGGGTGGGGTAGGGGTGGGGGAGATGTTTTAATTGGATGTTTATTCAGTGGTAATTGCAGAGCCCATCTTTATAAGGGTTGGTATTCATCCTGGCCCAAAGCAGAAATGTGGGATGCTGGAGCCTCTCCCTGGCTCATAGTGGGGTTTTCTCATACTTTGGGAAGTCTCCATTTCCCAAAGGGGGAAGAATCAATGGCGGCTGGCCAGACCCCTAGCCCCACTGGCCTTTCTCCTCCCCATCTCTCTTGGGGACCCACCCAAAGGAAAAAACAGCTCTGTGGCTAAAAATTTCTCTTCTGCTGGCTGAGGGTTTCCTAACAATACAGAGCCAAGTGTGGTGTCTCCCAAATGCATCAGAGGGAAATCTTGGGAACAGGATTTACCTCCTTCCCTTATCCCTTGTCGATGCTGTTTTCCCTCTTGGCCAATGGAGGAGAAGAAAGCACAGGAGTTAAATTTAGAAGGAACATTCGAGTTTAGGAATATTAATAAGAAAAGGAAATGACTTGCTTAGGGTCCCTTCATTTTCCATTCTGCAACTATGGGAAGGCTGGCCCTGTGTGTGTGTGTGTGTGTGTGTGTGTGTGCGCACGCGCGCAAAATTGATCACAATTATTTTTTAAAAAATCATTACCCCTAAGAAAAATCAACCCAAATCCAAAACACTATGTGTTTATTAATTTATGTACCAGTATTCCTCAGAGATGGACAGACAGACTCATTTCCATGGGCAAGTTGCTTTAAGTCCCTGAGTCTGTTTGCTCTCAGGGATGCCAGCAAGATTAAATAAGACAGCCAAGCCCAGTGCCAGCCCACATCCAGAAAATGTGGACTCCTCTCCATCTCTTCCTCTCCTGTTTTCTCTACTGGGGAAGACTGGCTTTCCCAGTCTCAGCTTTCAGTGTATCTTCCCCATCATCCAAACTTTTCTTCCTCCTACAACCTCATCCACTCAGGTTCTCATAGTTTCCTTGTCCTTGGAACCCTACATGGTTCCCCAACTATTCCCATCCCCTACCCACGCCCATTAGTTTCTCTCTTCAGTCCCACAATCTCTCTGCTTGAACCTTAGCCTTTCAAAAACATCCCTCCTTGCAAAGTTCAGCTTATAGGTGACACAATCCAGGTATCTTCTCCTGGCCACATTCACCTGTAAAAATGAGGGCAACCACCTCTCAGGGTGTTGGGAAGATTAAAAGCAACGAAAATAATGCAATGTTTTATTTTGTGTGAGCTATGGGCTTTACACAATAAATTATTATCAGCTCTGTGTCCCTTAAACACTTCCTTCAAGATGGAGAACTACCACTGATTGGAAGCTATTGAGCACCGTTCCCTCAAAATTAATAATTTCAAAGCAGGATGAGTAAGCACAGGTACCCGGGATAGGGAAGGAGCTTGTCAAGGTCACATATCAAACAAGGGGCAGGAAAGGGTAGCAATGGACCTCTATGCTCTAGCATGTGTACATGGGACCGGTGTATAGTAGTACTTTCATACCACTAAGTAAAATCACCTCTTCCTTCAGGTAGAAACAGTTCCCTAAAAGGGGGCATCACTTGGACAGCCCCTGTAGCCTCCACTGTTCCTTGACTGGGGTGCAAGCATGAATATCTGGCTTCTTTTCACCATATTCTGGGCCCTACTCTGCACTCCTGGGTCTGTGTCTACTCAGTGAGCTTGAAAACTAGATGAAGGTTGTCAAGATCGAGGTCTACAGAAGGCTAAATCCACAAGAAGCAGATGAGTGCTTAGCAGAAAAGAGTTTCTGAGTCAATGGGTTTAGGACATGCTCTGCTGAAAAGGTTAAATACATATAGTTTCTGATTGCAAGAGTTTTTAGAACCTTCAATATGCAAAATGAGAGAAAGGCAGAAAGCGCTTGAAGTGTCCCCAAATATATTTGACCATAATTCTTCCCTGTCCCCACCCTCCACCTTTGCCAAAAATCAAATAACAGCACACACAAACAACAGCTTGGGAAATGCTGAGTTAGGCTGGAATGT